CCTAATATTCCTATTGAATAGTGGAGCAAGTGTTTGTGGCATCACACTCCTCTAGTTTGTGATTATATCTTTTTCTTGAGAAGGTAGCATTTGTGTATATTCATTGAACCAGTGCATGGGTTGCACTAAAACCATATTTACAGCATGTCAAAAAAGTAACAAAACTGTATCTGAATCTAACATGAACCTAGGATATCTATAATGGATTCAGTGTCCTCTAAATACTTCTGCTTGCACCAGGAGCAAAAAAGCCTGATACAATTTAGTTTGATCTTTTGAAGATCACAACTCTTGCTCTCAAAACATCTAGCATTTCTTTCTTTCCAAACAGTCCACCAAATACATGCTGGGACAATCCTCCATCTATCTCTATCTGCAGCTCCCACCCCTACTTCTCCCCAACTGTATAAAATATGTGTGATTATGTTAGGCATAGCCCAAGCAAAACCCCCGAGTGAAAATCCTACATAGCTGGGACGTTATTCTGCACTGGAGAAACAGATGATTGACTGTCTTAACCTCTTCCTCACATAAATAACATCCAGAACACATGGAGAACTTCCTGTTCTTGAGATTTTCATGTGTTAAAACTTCTTCTCTTACCATAAGCCAAGTGAAACATGACACCTTGAAAGGGATTTTAGGTTTCCAAATCTGCTTCCAAGGCCAAAGAGAAGGTTGTTGTCCATCTTGATTTAGTAACTTATATGCAGAGTTTACCTTGAATGTGCCTTTGTTATTTCTTCTCCACCATAATCTATCATGTTCATCCCTTGTTCTTGTAAAAACTTCTAGCCTTCCAAAAAAATCAGTCACAGTCTAGATTCCCCAGTCATCTCATCTCCATATTTTGCTTGAATTACTTTTCCCAGTATGGTTGAGGCTCAAAAAAGTATGTGATAATATCTTTTGATTACTCAACAAACAAATATTTCAATATTCTGACTGTAATAATCCCTTGTCTTGTATATGTTGCACACATCTGCAGTTGGTAGTAAGTGACCGTGGAATGACTGAAACGGAAAATCATGGGAGGATCATCATTTGAGGAAAATGACTCTTTGGCACTTTTTATTGGTCCTACAAATTTTGGAAGTACATCACTCCTAATAAAGCCAACCAGGTATGTGACTATGAATTTTATTGTTGCTTAACTTCTAATGGATCAATTCATTGGTGGAAATTGGAATCACTTGCCATTTCTTATTATTTGCATGTGACAACTCTCTGCAAGAAACAGTTACTTGTGCTAGGCTATGTTGCTCGGTCTCTCCAAAAATGTTACGGCACCGGTGTTTGACCCTCAAAAATACACTACTTTTGGAGAATCCAACACGACCGGTTGACATATTTGAAGAGTCAGAGCAACATAGGTGTTAGGTGGTTAAGGTGCAGCAGTACCTCCATTTTGATTAGTATCCTTTAAAAAGAAATAGACAAGTTAGCAGAAAGTCTTGTAATATAGCTAGTATTTCACCCATGTTCTGCATGGGAGTTAATATATAACTATGCAATATTGGCTTTTCAAAATAAAAATTTGAGTAAAAGTGTCGCTAGATAAGTTTTCTCTGAAGTTCTTTCAAAATAAAACTTGAAATACAATAATTGTTAAAAGGAAGTTTATAGGTAGTGACATTTTGCCATAGTTATTGAATGTTGTCGGTGGTTTTCATTTTATTTTAAAAAGATATCTTTGATAGTAGGTGAGGGTTTCCTTATTTGACATTGTTAAGATTGGTTCCGTTGAGAAAATAATCAAATAATAGAAGTGTGCTCTCTCTAACAGCTTAAGCTTTTAGATGAGATAGTCATACACTTCAACATGGTATCAAAGTGTAATGACCCTCCTGGTCATTTCTGTGTCTTGCCTTCTGTGTGTCGTTTAGAGCATTCCTGTAGCGACCCCAAGTCATTTATGACTTGCTGGGACTAACAGTTCGGTCACCTGGTCATTCGTTTGGTTATGGTGTGAGTTTTAGTGTTTTGGAGCTTATGAACCTTGAACGATCATTTTCAATCAAAAGTTCAAGAAGATGACATCGGAATCCAATTCTGATGATTCCATTAGCTCTGGAATGTCAAGTTTGGTCTAGATTGACCCTTCTTTTGTGTTCCGAGGTTTTTGATATTTTTCCGAGCCCTTTTGTAGTTTTTGACTTAAAATGACATGTGGGTGTGGGACCCACTTTTTGTCAAGATTACCTCGTATGAAAATTTTGACAGTGCCAATGAGTCCAAAATATCAAATTTGGTATGCTTGCATATCTCGTTTGCGTGCACAGGGTTCCGAACGAGTTCGGAGCACCCCGTCGAAGTTTTTAAGTTTTGGGGAAAGTGCAGAAAAATCTGCACTTTTGGAAAACCTTAAAATCCTCATCTCTCTCTCATCTCTCAACCGAATTAGGCAATTTGAAGTGCGGGAGATTCGTATTTTCGGTGGCATCGTTGTAAAGTGTTCGGAAGTTGTCGGGTGCGCGTAGTTCGAGGTAAATTTCGCGATAAACCTGACTGTTGTACCCTTTTTCGAGCTTTTGTTTTTGGCAATCTTGTTTTGGTCATATCTCACTCATTTTAGCTCGGATTTGGGCGATTCGAAGGCCCACATGTTGGGAATTATCGTGGCTACGTCGTGGAGTGTTCAAGGAGTGTTGGGTACTATTAGATTCTTGTAAATTTCAAGTTTAGACTGCTGCATGTTTTCTTTTAAGTTGATTAAAGTGTTTTTTTCTTGCATGTTGGATTTTGTTGCGTTTTGAGCCCCGAATTGTGTTTCATTTTGGAACACAAGTTTGGGGTACTGTTTAGGGTCTCTTGACGGAGTCAAATTCGAACAGTTCGGTGCGGGTCCCACGATTCCCGTTTTGACTCCAAAATTGACTCGTCTCCGTTTACTATGATTTTGGTGTATAAACGACCGTAATAACATTGTGACTCTATTTTTGGTAGCGTGGTAGCATTTTGAGGCCGTTCGGAAAGGAAAAACTCCGAAGGAGTGATTTTGGAGCGCGCATGATCGGCCTACAGGTAGGCTACGGCTTCCCTCTCTTAGATTGAGCTCGAGATTGTGAATGCATGTTGATTAGTTGGGATTTGGGTTGGTAGTTATTGAATCATGCATAGGTGTTTAGAAATCATGTTTCGGCCTCTTTCGGGAATTATCGGGTAACTGTGACCATGCTATGTGTTACTAATTGACCCTCGTTGCTATGTGGAGTGCTTGAATGCTTGATTACTGTTTATCTGAAGCATGTTGGGCCTTAGTTTAGGTTTGACTAGGGCTTGCCTTAGAAATACATGATTCAAATTCGATAGGCCTTAGTTTACCCCCGACGTCGCTCGATCGGCTTAGATCCCTGTAGACTGGTATAGAAGACTTGAGTCGGATAGTTTGGGCCTTACTCCGACGATAGCTATCCTTATTTTCCCTGATGTTACGGCTTCAAGAGTTACGTCGGCGACATTAGTTCTACTTCGCGATTTGAATTTGATTTTTGATTCAGTTCCAAGGACTTGCATTGATTGGCTAAGTGTGGACGGTATTCCACGGACATTTATGAGCATGGATCGATTGGGACTCTTTCAGCAGCTACATTGGCACCTTTATAGAGCATCCGGTTTAAGGTCGGGCCTCTATCGCCTAGATACTTATATAGAGCATCCGATTTAAGGTCCGGCCTCTATCGCCCAGATACTTATATAGAGCATCCAGTTAGAGGTCCGACCTCAGTTACTTGATACTGTGATTGGTTACTTGGGTACTTTTGGTGAGCATCCGGTTCGAGGTCCGGCCTCCGTACTATCAGATTTTACTAATTGTGGTTGAGGTTCTGGTTCGATGTTCTCCGTTCTTGGGTTCTCATATGCAATTTTCTTTAGTTATAGTTATTCTGCTCATCGGGCTTATGGGGGTCCGTTCGGGTTTTAATTAACTTGCGCACGCGTGTACCTTCTGGGCTTATGGGGGTCCAGTTAGGTGTAGTTAGCTTATAAATTACTTTAGTTAGTTCTTTCTACACTCGTGTGCATTCCATTGTTACTTAGATTTCCGTTCTTGACCTCTGTTTGTGTTATTCCTTCTTTTCATATTGCCTTTACTTTTTAAGTTCAGTCGGTCAATGATGCCTACTGGGTACCTACTGTTGTGGTACTCACGCTACGCTCTACATCTATTTCGTGATGCAAGTCCAAGCACCATTGGCCAGCGTTGATCCAGTTTGGAGTAGTCTGATTCGGAGACGGGGGTGAGCACACGGTGTTTTATACTATTTCAGTCTCCATCTGTATATATAGACTTGTCTTTTACCTTTCGAGACAGTCCAGTCTCTGTGGTCCACTTTTGGGACTTTTACTCGTTTTGTTAGTAGCTTTATATTAGTGACTTCCAGGTTTTGAGAGGGATCTTTATTTGTATATATGTTTTGATTTGCTTCCGCCTGTTTATATTGTTATCTTAAATTTTGCCTACTCTTGTTTAGTTTCTTCCCTCAGACCCATTACTTGTTGTTCCAGGTTACGGGTTGGCTTACCTACTGGTAGGTTATAATAGGTGTCATCATGACTCGAGGAATTGGGTCGTGACACAGAGTCAGGTCCATCCCAATTTCTTTGTTCACCGATGTTGGGCCCCCATATTATAGTGTTCACGCTCCAATTAACGAGGTCTGGGCGTGCGGGGGAGTGTTAAGAATTCCCACATCGAAAGAGGGATGGGAATTTGGTCTACTTATATGGACTTGGACAATCCTCCCTTCATAAGCTAGCTTATGAGGTTGAGTTAAACCCAAGATCGTATCAGAGCAGGCAAAGTCCTGAGATCGAATCTCACCGCCACCCAAATCAAAAAGAATTTCCACGTGCTTGGCCCATGAAAAAAAAAATCAGGCCCACACGTGATAGGGCGTGTTGAGAATATAATCAAATAATAAAAGTGTGGTCTCTCTAACAGCTTAAAATTTTAGATGAGATAGTCACACACTTCAACAGGTTCAATCATCAACTTAATAATTTATTTATCAATTATTCATAAATTTGGTGTTTGAGGTGGACCTTGATTCAACATAGCTCTTGTTGATGGTAGAAACTTTCAAATCATTAACAGGTCTGATTTGGTAGTTTATGTTGTTGATTCTGAGCCATATATAATGTTTGATAATTGTAAAGAACAAGTGTCAGAATGTGTTACATAGTGATGATGTTTATCTACGTAGGAGAATATGTGGGCGTGTGTTTGGATATCCTGTTGCCTTCTGCATCCACAAGTGAGGCATGGGCTTGAGGAATTGAATTCTACATTTTTCTTCAAATTGCTTTTGTGTGTATCAGAACAACAAATGAGAAAAGTTCCTGCACAGACCACAGTTGTTCAAGTCACCTGTAATTCATCCAATTACTAGTCAATATCTTTAAATTGTTTCCACTTTACCATACTAGTTCTACGCTTATTTAATACTCTTACTGCATTTTTATTGGCTTATTGATTGAATGGTAAAGTGGGATGGCACAAATCTCTTATTTTTAATCATATGGGAGTTAAAGGCAACTTAATCTAGTTTGATGTTAATGATGTAATCACAGTTTTACATGGGGTGCTTCTCCTATGTTTTTCACAATTTTTTAAGGTTTCAGAGTATCCCAGTTTATACATATGCTTTCTGTTTCCGGGTATTAGTGGTTGTTATCTTGGTTTTTCACTAGAAAAGGGACTAGGCACTGCTATATGCAATTTCCCACAAAAATCACTTTTGTAGATTTCCATCCTTCTTATTTAATGATGGAACTAGAAGGGACTTTTTTGGGGGCTTAATTCAGTCTAAGATTGAGAGTTTACCTTAATGGCTCATGATAGTGAATGCTAGTTCATTTGGAAGTGAAATTCCTCAGAATAAAATGAGCTTCACCATAGATCTAACTGAAGTATGCATTTTCAATATTGAGAGTTTATACTTTGACTCCTGACAACTTGTCATTGGAGCACCTTGAATTGACTCAATCTAATGGGAATGGTTAGAGTTCTCATTAGTCTTGGCGCTCAAGTCTGACAAGATAAATCAGGCTCGACTGAATATCCTATCTGGTTATGTTGTGGCAACACTCTTTCTATGAAATCGAAGAAATAAATATCAGCATATAGAGTAATCTAGATATATTATTTCAGTTCTGTCATTTCTTGTGACCACCATCTTGTCAAGATGATGTATTTCGTCTTTTTTGAACTATATATGCATTACAAAATGAGTCATGTTCCTTTTTCATTTTCTTCAAGTATTTCAGTTGACCAACAACAAGTTATTGGAGTTGAATTCCCGAGAATTGCTTAGGCTCCTTGAAGTGCAACTACCTGGTTTAGTATGTGAAAACTTCTTATGCGACAACTTGAGGGATGATGGATCTGAGAGGACAAGAGGTCGCAGCAGTTTGGAAGAGACCATTTGTTGTTTGTATATGAAGGCTGCAGATCTTGGAAGTCTGGGGAAGAGCCAATTTGACATATGTTTCCTCAAAACTTTTATTTGGGGAAAATGCTAATTCTTGTATTGTTTTCCATGTAGATCTGCTTGTGAGGAAAATTGTTACAGTACTATTATGGCAGCATATTATAATTTCGTGAGTGGCTAATCTCATAGAGCAACTGACGTGAGTTTAACCTTATAAAAGTTTTCTTTTGCATTTCCAGAAAGTAATAGAGCAGAGCATTCCATGATTTTTATACAATTTTCTTATAAGTTTTATTTAATATTTTTCAAAAACCTGTTAGACGACTTATATTTGGAGTAGCTGCTATGCTCGTTTCATGTTTGATGCTGCTGAGCCTTGTGTTTCTTCTAGGAAAGCAAGTTTTCTCTGCAGTTTTCTAGTGCCAATAATCACCTGAGCTGGTGGCATTTGGATGGGATTTTTATTCTTGTGGTAATTTTTATTGTTGTAATAAGCATGGGATCCAGTTCGGTGGTGGAGGAAGAGCAGTACATATGTCATTTCATGACATCCTCGCTTTATTTGTTATCTCTCCGAAAGTAATGCAACAGTGCTACTACCTTTGGTCTAAAGACGAATCATTATATCCAGATTTGCTCAATTTTTGAGAGGATGGCATCAAAGGTGGTGTTAATTGGACTAATTTTTCAAAATGGTTAAGAGCAAGTGGGAAGAACTTATATAAAGTTGTTCCAGCTGGTTTCAGTGATCATCCTAATCAATGTAAGCTTAGTTTCTCTTATGTGGTCTAGACGGTCAGAAAAGAACTTTATGACCATAGTTTCCTTGATGCAATTGTTCCCAGGGTGTCAGATTTTACATTATATCACTAAATATCAAGATGTTGCAGGTAGTTATGATGCTACTTTATGGCTCAGATAGTTTATGTTGTCCTAGGTTTCTGTTCAACGACTATTGTGTTGTGCCATGGTGTATACTTTCCAAAATCGTACGCTTTCTGTTCCTCAAGTCCAAAGAAAGGCTTGGGGTTTATGTTTTAGGGATTCGATTGGCTTGAGTTAAATATATTATTGGTCGCTTTTATAGCTATTGTTGCAGCAGCCCGTAAACTCAATGCTTGTACTATTTCTCTTCCTGCTAGCATTTGGTATTCTTCTGGTTCCAACCAGCATCGCAGGCAGTGGGTTGAGGTCAGTCAAATCTTTTCAATATTCATCCAAATTAGGACGTCTTTGTCTTTAAGGACTGCCTAATACTAGTTTCACAAGTTTTGTTTTTCTCCTTTTTCCGTGTCAGGTTGCTGCACTTTACTACATGGGAATGGCAGGCCATTTTGGTCTTGGTAACACCAACACCCTAGCTACAATCGATGTTGCTGGGGTTTTTATTGTAAGTTTCTTGTGCAAAAATATTTAATATTGTGTTTCATGCTAATTTCTCGTCAGCTTCATATTGAATCTGATGCTCTCCGTTGATTTGATTACCAAGGTGTGTTTAACCACTCAACTATACTTTCTATGAAATGGAGAAAAGAAATAGCAGCATATAGAGTAATCTTGATACATTATTTTCAGCCTTGTCATTTTTTGTGACCATCTTGTCAAAATCATGTATTTCGTCTTTTTTGAACTATATATGCATTATAAAGTTGGTCATACTCCTCTTTCATTTTCTTCAAGTATTTCAGTTGGTCAACAACTCAAGTTATTGGAGTTGAATTCCTGGCAATTGCTTAGGCACCTTGAAGTGCATCTACCTGGTTTAGTATGTGAAAACTTCTTATGCAACGACTTCAGGGATGATGATCTGAGAGGACAAGAGGTTACAGTAGTCTGGAAGAGACCTTTTGCTGTTTGTATATGAAGGCTGCAGATCTTCACAGATCTTGGAAATTTGGGGAAGAGAAAAGGTGGTTGATGGTTTGTAATAGCCAATTTGACATATTTTTCCTCAGAACTTTTATTTGGGGAAACTGCTACTTCTTGTGTTGTTTTCCGTGTAGATCTGCTCGTGAGGACAATTGTTACAATACTCTTGTGGCAGCATATTATAATTTCTTAAGAATTGCAAGTGAGTGGCTAATCTCATAGAGCAACTGACGTGAGTTTAACCTTATAAAAGTTTTATTTTGCATTTCCAGAAAGTAATAGAGCAGAGCATTCCATGATTTTTATACATTTTTCTTATAAATTTTATTTAATATTTCTCAGAAACCTGTTGGACGACTTATATTTGGAGTAGCTGCTATGCTCGTTTCATGTTTGATGCTGATGAGCCTTGTGTTTCTTCTAGGAAAGCAAGTTTTCTCTGCAGTTTTCTAGTGCCAATAATCACCTGAGCTGGTGGCATTTGGATGAGATTTTTATTCTTGTGATAATTGTTATTGTTGTAATAAGCATGTGGATCCAGGTAGTTATGATGCTACTTTAATGGCTCAGATAGTTTATGTTGTCCTAGGTTTCTGTTCAACGACTATTGTTGTTCTTGTGCCATGGTGTTTACTTTCCAAAATCATACGCTCTCTGTTCCTGAAGTCCAAAGAAAGGCTTGGGGTTTATGTTTTAGGGATTCGATTGGCTTGAGTTACATATATTATTGGTCGCTTTTACAACTATTGTTGCAGCAGCCCGTAAACTCAATGCCTGTACTATTTCTCTTCCTGCTAGCATTTGGTATTCTTCTGGTTCCAACCAGCATCGCAGGCAGTAGGTTGAGGTCAGTCAAATCTTTTCAATATTCATCCAAATACGACTTTAAGGACTGCCTGCCTAATACTAGTTTCGCAAGTCTTGTTTTTCTCCTTTTCCCGTGTCAGGTTGCTGCACTTTACTACATGGGAATGGCAGGCCATTTTGGTATTGGTAACACCAACACCCTAGCTACAATCGATGTTGCTGGGGCTTTTATTGTAAGGTTTTTGTGTTTAATATTGTGTTTCATGCTAATTTCTCATTAGGATGCTCCCCATTGATTGATTGTCAGGGTGTCTTGAACCGCTCAACTATACTTTCTGCTTCACCAATGTTGTACCTCCTTAGAACGGTGATGTACAATTCTGTGAAAGACGCTAGTAGTTTCATAATTTTCGAGAAAGGCTATATTGGATCGCTGCTCAAGAGGACACTTGGTTTTCCTTGTTTTGTTCCGTTGGGTTTGAATTCCATTCTCTTGATAGCTTACACAATTGTGTTGCTATTAATGAGAAACCATTTATTTGTTTGGAGTGTATTTTCTCCCAAGTAAGTGTCACTAAAAAGTTGATAATTTGCTTTATCATATATTTTGTATGGAGACTAAGAGTGACATTTTTTTGTTCAGGATGAAAGCCTTGTCTAAGTAAGATTATATATATATAGAGAGAGAGAGAAGAGATTTCAAACAAAATAACTAAATATGTTTACTTTAACTATTCATACTATATTTTTGAAGCAACTTTTTATGAACCATTCGTTTGATTTATTGATTATCTCAAATATGCTGAATAAGTAATAATATCAAAAGTCTTAGTCTAAATCCTACAAAATATTTCAAACTATATTTATTTATATTATAAAATATATTAAAACCGGACACCTTTTCACATTGAAGGATTGTGACTTTTCTGATGGGATGTGACTTTTCTGAAGGGTTGTGACATTTCATTTTTGCAAAACTTTACAATATTTTTGAGATATGATTAATACAACAACATTTCAACTCTCAAAAATTTTCAAAATGTCAATATTTTAGTTTGTTATGTATCTAATATATGTTTTTTTATTTGTTTTAAATGAAGGAATACAATTATTAAATAACATAAAGGAGAAATTTAGTGAGAGAATATTTTTTAAAAAGGAACATATCACTTAAATTTTTCATCAGTTACAAATTAAAAAATAAACGATAGGGCACTCATCCCCCTTGTTCATCAAATTTTCAATATCGATTTTTAAATTTTCATTGATAATACTGTCAGGACCCAAAATGAGTCATGAGTGGCACCCACACTTAACCTCCTAGGTGGGCGAACCAATGAATCTAACCCCAACTTATATCAATTGTTCAACTACGGATAACAACCATATGCGTAATCTCAAACTTATTAAAGTAACTAATAAAATAAACCTCTAATGTCTAGTACATATTATTCTATCCCCAAAACCTGAA